CCGGGAGTGGCTCAAACGGGCATCATGTGTATGTACGTGTATTTGCACGTGCAGTACTCTCGTACTGGCTGACAGTGTCACTGTGGCACTGCCACAGTGTCTTTCCAACTTTCCCTCCCGCTCACTCTCGGCTTCAACGCACACAACCGAGACCGCCCCGCAAGCTTGCTGCCCAGGGCAAAAAAGACATGTCAGTCAGTGGTCGACAGTTGACGGCCGGCGAGGATCTCTCCCCTAGCAAAAGCCACCACCATCGTCCACGCTCAGTTATACTATACAGTACTTCACCTCACCACCATGCTCCATTCACGATACCATTCCGAATACAGTAGTACCCCCAGCACTTTCAGCAGCACCAGTGCTTCCAAGCCTAACACACAGCAGCTCCCTGCTCCCGCTGTCACTGAGTCGCGTAAGTAGTGTAGTTAATAGCTAAGGCGGCGCCTCTCAAACTCCCGTCCCGAGTGCCCGTCGGCTTCATCCGTCGAGCACCGCAAAGCGGAGTGAGAGAAATCGCGAGCAGCGGCGAGTCCTGTGGAGCGGCAGCATGCGGCGCTGCCTCGCTTGCCCGAACGGGGCTGCAGCGGCGGCGGCGTTGAGCCGCCAGCGGATGGCGCGTGAGCGCGTGCTGCGCGCGCTGGCGTTCGCATGGTGCCTCGCCGCCCTTGCGGCTCGCCTCGCCATCGTCCAGGCTTACACGACAATAGAGGCCTCGCAAGGTGATTCGCGAGTCGAGGCCAAGCCGCCTGCAATGGAGTACGAGTACGATAAGTGATTTCTTAAGACACCACCTTTTGTAGGTGTCTAGGGATGAGCAGGCCGGCGAACCAGGTTCGGCCCAGTTCGGGCCGGTTCGGATGCCTCCCGGGCCACCCCTGAATTGTCATGGCGGCCCTAGTCATTTTATTGTCCCACGCGATCGAAAATTGGAGCTAATTTTCGCGGCCGCACTTACTAACCATCGATTATCCACTATAGGTCCTAGTACTAAGCACACGATTCTAGCGTTTAAAATTAGATCCAAGTCGAAATTTAGGTTTTTTTTTTTTCCGCTTAGGGGTGACCTAAACAGATGAGTGTCAAAGGGATTTTTCGATTTGGGGCTAAAGAGATCGTGACAGCAAGAACCGTTTTGAAATTCGACCCTTTCCAAAAATCGGGCGCGAACTCTGCTTCACAATAATCTCACTGCAATGTTAAAGCTGAAGGCCCAAAGTGCGGGCCGCGCTGGGCAAGATTACTAATCTTGCTCAGCTGCTGTTTGGGTGCTGTGAGTTGGCAAATGTTGGGTTACAGTAGGTACGAATGAATATGATTGGACGAGACCAAACTCACTGCGCAAACTTCAAGTTTCAGTATTTCTCAATTGGGGACTCTCGGACCCAAACAAAGTGTTGGCCCTCAATTTGCTGACTCAGCAAGTGTTGCGAGAGCTTCTTCGAAATAAGTCAACCCCACTTTCTCGACTTTGTGTTCACCTCCCAAACCACCAGCCCAAACCCTTGCGCAAGAGTACTAAAGTTGCGCAATTTGGGCCTTGAGCTTTAAGTTACTCGGGGCCAGGCTGGCCCACCCCGGGTCGGGCCGATAAGGGTTCGGCCAGGCCGTTTTTGGCCCGCGCCCACCATGTGGCCAGGCTCGGGTGGCTCATCCGGCCCGGGGCGTGCCGAATTTCTAAGCGACCCGGCCCGGTTCGACCAGGGCCGCCAAACCCGGCCCGGCCCGTACTGATCACAATAGGTGGCTTCTTTCAACCAACTCCCACATCCCTTCGTGCGCTCTCTCCACCCCTCACCACTACCACATCCGTCACCCCCCTCATTTCCTAGTAACCCACAAACCCCATCACAAAAATGTGTACATCTGTAAATCATCTGACCATTTGATTTGGGCACTTGTGATTGAAAATCGTTTGAAGATCTTCTTAGAATCTTCTTGTAATCGTTTTGGCGGCCCAGATGTTTTAAAGACGTTTAGAAAGGGTTTTCACAATATATTGGTGATGGCATCTCTTACTCTGTTTTATTCCCTATCTCGCCATACATTTACCACGACAAGTAGAGTGCGACTATGAAAGGCGTCGCCAATCGGTTTTTTCTTAAAAAGCTGACAGTTATGTTTATGTTTGAATATTCGATTTTCATTCTTGAAATACGTTAATTAGTTCCTTATTGAGTTACGAAACCTCAATGTTTTATTATGATTCTCGTTTTTAAGTGAATCGATCTGAAATTAAGAATGTATCTGTAACTGTAATTTTGTAACAGCTGTAAGTATCGAAACAATTATTAGAGTCAAACCTTCGCCAGCAGCACCCCCACCAAACACCCTCGATATCCAGCAAATCTCGCTCCAACCCCCACCAATCGCGCTCCCCACCCCCCACTGATTGCGCTCCACCCCCCGTTCATCCAGCTGCCCTCGATCACTCCCTACCCTTCCCAATCCATGCCTCAACCAACCCAGAAATAATTCCAACCAATCCATGTTGCCTTGCTCCATCCAGCTCAGAAGCCCAACCAATCCAGGCCGCCCATCTAACCCACCTAGACAACATCCAGCTCAGCTATGGTAGTGTCCCAACCCAACCATCCCCTGCGCAACTTTAGCACTCTCCCTTCACACCAGCTCAAAGGTGGAAGACACTTCCCGTAATTTTTATTATTCCTTGGTGGCTCTGACTTCGTTAGTTTGGTTCCTCGTACTTCCTTCGCTTAGTCTCTTGGTCACTTCCGCCATAGCTTCTAACGATTTGCTGCCCTATCACCAGCGAACCGCATTTATTGCGTGTCACTTTTTTCATGAAGTCCATCCACTTACGAATAGTCAGGACATTTCTCACCTCGTACTGACTTCTGGATGCGCATATGCAGGTCCCCGCGTCAGTTTTCCCTTCACTTTTCACAGGTCGCGGGGTTATCTTATTGATCGCGTCACCATCTACTCATGCGTTAATCCGTTTTGATATTTAATCTAACAATCTCGTTTGTTCGTTATGTCGATGATTTCCTTTTATTAATTCACAACTCTTCAGAGATTGCAATCGTGGTAAGCACACGATTTAATCGCCGCTGGTTTCTTAAAAACTGCTTTTATTTGGTTTACCTCACCTGCTGAAATCGTTGCTAGCTGCGGGCGGTGCTGTTTGTTCAGGTTCAACCGCGTTTTTTTGCCAAGATCATGCCTAAATTATTGACATGATGGAACATGTGTAGGCGACTAGGTCTCTGGTAGCTTTGCGTAACCATTTGTCTTGATGTAATGTCATAATTAAATCAAATTATTGATTTTCGATATTTACAATGGTTGAAATTGACCACCTACAGATTATAGCATTGCATATTTTGAAATGATATTCTAGCTCATTTCCAATACAATAAAGAGTTGTTATGGCATCCACCTTTTTACATTAAAGGGTTTTGCGGAACTTCTTGCATAGTCAAGGCTGACTTCGGGTTGCCTTCTTCCGAGGTCTCTCGAAACGTGTGAAATCATCTGGAAAGCATCTGACACAACATCTAGAAAAACTTCGATACTTTCTTCTTAAAAAGTTCCCAACCCTACGTTTTTAAATCATTTGGAAAAGGTTTGAACAAACTCATTTCGGGAGGAATTTCGCTGCTTGATTTTTTTTATGCCCCTCCCCTGTTTGCCCCCCCTCTCCCCCCAATCCCCTCCCGGCAACCATCCGCACTCTCCCCCCCCCCCCCCCCCCCCCCCGCCCCCCTCCCCTTGTTCCCGCTTCCTTCTCCCCTCTACGCCTTACACAATCTGTTTAGTGGATGTCCTGCGTGACTGCGAGAGGACATGGAATCGGTATATGAGTGATTGGCAGGAGCAGATGTTCCAAGAGGGCATCTATTGCGTGTATGATGATTACGGCAACCTCGATTACTGCGACCGCGGCTGGATTCGAGGCACCTTCTGCGAACTTGCTGGCCTCGACTGCGACGCGAATGGGATGATCTTGAAACTGTGAGGTCACGTCACCTCATCTGCATTCTGGCTATTCGCACGCAGCACAATGCCCATGCTGTAGTATAAGTGCATAGTACTCAATATGTTTGGGACAAGACAGGGACTTCCACATCGGTCCTACAAAGTGCCACCTCTAATGCTGTACTGTTCTTTCAAACCCATGGTGGCATGGCATGGCATGTGTGTGTGGGCGCAGTTCTTTAACGTACTTTTCTCTGGAAGGGTCTATTCCGGCGTCCATTGGCAACCTGCGAGAGCTCATTGAACTGTACGTCCTCCTGGCCTTGTGAACTGTACGGTTCGCCCACAAGACATGTTCGTGGAGGTTCGGGTGAACATGTCCGGTGTTCGCCTGTTGCTCATGCCTAGATGACCGTGTGGAGTGCCAGTTGAGGGAGTGGTGAGGCGGCGCAGGAAGGAGGTGTCAGTCAGCTGTAGCTGTGAGGTGGGGGTTGAAAGAATCCCATAGTTGGGAAGAGGTGAACTCAAGAGTTATTTCATTAGAATGAAAAAGGAGCATACATAGTGATTGGAGGGTAAGCTTGGAAGGGGAGCTTGGAAGGGAAGAGAGTTGGGTGGTGGTGGTTGGGAAGCCCTATCCCAAGTGGGGTGGAAAGGGACCCCAACTTGTAATTGAGACCAACCTTGTGGCCCATTGGGTTGGGTTGACAACATTCCCCAAATGTTGGCACCCTAAGTACCAATTGATTGCATTTGGGGGCTCCACCACAATTGGGTTGGATTGACACCCCAACATGCAAGGCTACACCCAAAGTTGGGTGTAGTCCCAACCCAACTGTACACCACACTTGGTATACAATCACAAAAGGCTTATCATGCTATAATATAATTCTAACACAACCCCTTAGCATGCTAAGACAAGAAGAGAACAACCCCTGAATCAAGGGACGCCCGGACGAGTCAGGCCAATGAGACGGAGAAGGGCAGAGAGCACAAGGCGAGGGAGAGCCGTGAGAAAATGTCAGCCAAGTTGGGTAAGGAAGGGACTGCGGCAGGTGAGATCACACGCTAGCCGGGAGGGGGCTACTGCAGGTGAGATCGCACGCCAGCCAGGAGGGGGCTGCTACAGGTGAGGTCGCACGCCAGCCGGGAGGGGGTTGCTGCAGGTGAGGTCGCACGCCAGCCGGGAGAGGGCTGCTGCGGGTGAGGTCGCAGGCCAGCCGGGAGGGGGCTGCTGCAGGTGAGATCGCACGCCAGCCGGGAGAGGGCTGCTGCAGGTGAGCTCGCATGCCAGCCGGGAGGGGGCTGCTGCAGGTGAGGTCGCACGCCAGCCGGGAGAGGGCTGCTGCGGGTGAGGTCGCATGCCAGCCGGGAGGGGGCTGCTGCAGGTGAGATCGCACGCCAGGGCTGCTGCAGGTGAGCTCGCATGCCAGCCGGGAGGGGGCTGCTGCAGGTGAGGTCGCACGCCAGCCGGGAGAGGGCTGTTGCAGGTGAGGTCGCACGCCAGCTGGGAGAGGGCTGGATGGCCCAAAGGAGGAGGGAGTGAGGGGGAAGCGGGAGGAGGGCTGGATGGCCCGAAGGAGGAGGAAGCGAGGGGGAAGGGGGAGGAGGGCTGGATGGCCCGAAAGAGGAGGAAGCGAGGGGGAAGGGGGAGGAGGGCTGGATGGACCGAACGAGGAGGAAGCGAGGGGGAAGGGGGAGGAGGGCTGGATGGCCCGAAGGAGGAGGAAGCGAGGGGGAAGGGGGAGGAGGGCTGGATGGCCCGATGGAGGAGGAAGCGAGGGGGAAGGGGGAGGAGGGCTGGATGGCCCGAAGGAGGAGGAAGCGAATGGGAAGGGGGAGGAGGGCTGGATGGCCCAAATGAGGAGGACGCGAGGGGGAAGGGGGAGGAGGTCTGGATGGCCCGAAGGAGGAAGAAGTGAGGGGGAAGGGGGAGGAGGGCTGGATGGCCCGAAGGAGGAGGGAGTGAGGGGGAAGGGGGAGGAGGGCTGGATGGCCCGAAGGAGGAGGAAGCGAAGGAGAAGGAGGAGGGCTGGATGGCCCGAAGGAGGAGGAAGCGAGGGGGAAGGGGGAGGAGGGCTGGATGGCCCGAAGGAGGAGGAAGCGAGGGGGGAGGGGGAGGAGGGCTGGATGGCCCGAAGGAGGAGGAAGCGAGGGGGAAGGGGGAGGGGGGCTGGATGGCCCGAAGGAGGAGGAAGTGAGGGGGAAGGGGGAGGAGGGCTTGATGGCACGAGGGAGGAGGAAGTGAGGGGGAAGGGGGGGGAGGGCAGGATGGCCTGAAGGAGGAGGAAGTGAGGGGGAAGGGGGAGGAGGGCTGGATGGCCCTTAGGAGCAGGAAGTGAGGGGAAAGGGAGAGGAGGGCTGGATGGCCCGAAAGAGGAGGAAGCGAGGGGGAAGGGGGAGGAGGTCTGGATGGCCCGAAAGAGGAGGAAGCGAGGGGGAAGGGGGAGGAGGGCTGGATGGCCCGAAGGAGGAGGAAGTGAGGGGGAAGGGGGAGGAGGGCTGGATGGCCAGAAGGAGGAGGAAGTGAGGGGGAAGAGGGAGGAGGGCTGGATGGCTCGAAGGAGGAGGAAGTGAGGGGGGGAGGGGGAGGGGGAGGGGGGCTGGATGGCCAGAAGGAGGAGGAAGCGGAAGCGGAAGCGGAAGCAGAAGCGGAAGCGGAGCAGAGTGATGGGCGAAATGCCCGCGGGAGCAGAATTGACGGGCGAAATGCCCGCGGGGGCAGAAGTGACGGGCGAAATGCCCGCGGAAGCGGAAGTGAGGGGCGAAATGCCCGCGAGAGCAGAAGTGACGGGCGAAATGCCCGCGGGAGCGGAAGTGATGGGCAAAATGCCCGCGGGAGTGGATGTGGCGGCCGAAATGCCCGCGGGAGCAGAAGTGACGGGCGAAATGCCCGCGGGAGCGGAATTGAAGGGAGAAATGCTGCTCGGCGCGGACGAGTACCACAAAGGCCGCGGAGGAAAGGTGGCACGAGGCCAAGGATCACCTAGGACAGCACGGTGGCTGGAGGTGCCTAGGGAGGGGGCAGTTGGCGTTAGCCAAAACAGATTTGATACCATGAAAGAATCCCATAGTTGGGAAGAGGTGAACTCAAGAGTTATTTCATTAGAATGAGAAAGGAGCATACATAGTGATTGGAGGGTAAGCTTGGAAGGGGAGCTTGGAAGAGAAGGGAGTTGGGTGGTGGTGGTTGGGAAGCCCTATCCCAAGTGGGGTGGAAAGGGACCCCAACTTGCAATTGAGACCAACCCTGTGGCTAGACATGAGCACAAGGGCGAATACCTGTTCGGTTCGCCTCGAACGTGTTCGAGGCGAACCGAACAGGTTTGTTTTTTTTGCTTAAATTGTTCGCCGAACAGTGTTTGATGTTCGCCCGAACACGTTCGTGTTCGGGCCGCTGCTGCAATTTGCCCCGCGACGAACACGAACGTGTTCGAGGTTCGCCCGAACACGCCTTCACAGGCGAACGGCGAACACGTGTTTTTGCTTAAAGTGTTCGCCGAACCGAACAGTGTTCGGTTCGGCAAACGGATGTCTTCGTCTAGGGGCGAACACTCATGTTCGCCCCTTGCTCATCCCTACTTGTGGCCCATTGGGTTGGGTTGACAACATTCCCCAAATGTTGGCACCCTAAGGACCACTTGGTTGCATTTGGGGGCTCCACCACATTTGGGTTGGATTGACACCCCAACATGCAAGGCTACACTCAAAGTTGGGTGTAGTCCCAACCCAATTGTACACCACACTTGGTGTACAATTTCAAAAGGCTTAGCATGCTATAATATAATTCTAACGAGGGTGTGCAGTGAGCTGCATTGGGGTGGGGACTTGCAAGAAAGCCCGCAGTTAGGCAGCAGTAAGAAGATGCCAGTAGTACAGGAGGTACAAGTGAGTTAGTGGACGTTTATGTACCATAGTCGTAGGACGTTTATATACTACCCTGCTCCTTCACTTGTTGTTCCTCTTATTCCTCTTCCCATTTAGTGAAATCCCCATCCAATCTCCCACTCTTACCCCCCCTTCCATGTGCTTTCAATATGTGCTTCCCTCTTACCCAACGTATGTTCCACGCGTGTCTCTTTCTCTTTCTCCTACATCATCCTTGCTTCTTCATTCCCCAGCCCCCCTTCATGTAGCCCTCATTCTATCCTCCCTCCCTACTTCTGCGTGGAAAAGCCATTCTTCGGACCAAGCGCGACTCACATTGTTTACCTACCCCATCGATCCCTTGCTATGTCTGCGTGCTTACATACCAGGACAAATGATCGTTATCGTATAATCTGCTGTTGTAGCAGGTGGTAAGGGGCATAAAGTATTTCTCTTACTAACCGTTGGTTGCCAATGCATGGAAACTTCAACTCTGCCTGTGTCACATGTCCCATTTGTGTCCACCATCACAGTGATTTCCATAGGAATGACCTCTCTGGTTCAATTCCAACAGAAATCTTCACCCTCACAAAGCTGACACGCCTGTAAGGCCTGCGATCCCATCTGCTGTGCTCTCCAATAAAACCGACACCTTTCCCACTTCAGTCGTTTCCTCTTTTTCCAGTATTTTCTACTAAAACCGCTGCATTCTTCTCTTATTTCACTCATCCGTCTGTGTCCCTTTGCTATCTTTGCACCTCTTCTCTCCTCACCTCTCTTTTCGTCCTCGCGTATTCCTTTCCTCCAATTCCTCCCGTTCTCATCCCTGCCGAAAAGACCTCTCTTCACTTTCCAAAGCCAGTCCATCCACTATCACTGATGGCAAACCACAAACATGTTTTTTCGCACTGCTATCGTGCTTCTGCACGGCTTTGAACAATTTTGATATCGTACCTAGTTGCTCTTATTCATGAATGATTTATGTTACATAATTTATGTATATATTATGTTACATAAGTGATGCATGTATTATGTTTCAAAATTTATGTATGCATGTATTGTTCGTATGTATGCCTCACCATCATGACAGCGATCTTGGTGGCAATTTTTTGACAGGCTCAATCCCCAGCGCAATTGGCATGCTTACGAACTTGATTTACATGTAAGACCTCTGTTTTGTTGTTCTCTCCTTCCTCTGCCCCAGCAATAGACCCTTTCACGTTCTCTTTGATTGGATAACTAACCTGATACTTCCAGTGGTTGGACCTAACCTAAGGCTATTATCTGATCACCTTTTTTCCCAAACCTCCCTACTTTTTAACCCTGCCGTAGTATGGGTGTTGTTGGGGGGGTTGGGAGAGCATTTCGCGTGAAGGTGTGCTATTACGTGGGGGAAAATTGTTGTGTGTGTGGGGGGGAGTAGACATGAGCAAAAATTCGAACCCGTGTTCGGTTCGACTCGAAAGTGTTCGACTCGAACGTGTTCGAATGGTTTTTTTGCCCAAAATTGTTCGTGACAAACACCAAGGTGTTCGTCACAAACACGTTCGACTGTTCGAGTGTTCGTGTGCAGAAAAATGCACCAACTCCAAGGTGTTCGCGAACACAATGTGTTCGTCGCAAACACCTAGGTGTTCGTGCATTTTTATGCGTGTCAAAGTTTGACGCGCTGGTTGGATCTAAAAGGGGAGGGCGACGATTTAGCTCAAGAATGAGCTCAATCGTCGATATAGCCTAAGGATGGCATTCCGCCCCCTACCCACTTCAACTAACACATTCCCACGGTTAAAATTCCACTTTGTGGCTGGAAACGTTAGGTATAAGGTTGGATTAGGGTAGGAGACGGTTAAAAAAAAGAACTAAGGGCATTACGGTTTAGGTTGGAGTTTAGCAAGGCAAAATTGGATATCCACTAGATCTGCACCAAGCCTAACTATATCTCTTGTAGGGCTATAGGGAACGTGACATTGCTTCTAGTACACTCGCCCTGCCTGAATGTGACTATACTGAAAGAATCCCCCAAGGCAAACTGTTCGAGTTCGGGTCAAACACCTTAGTGTTCGGCCTTGACTCAAAACTGTTCGACCCTATACTCGAACGGGGAACACTAACATTTAGGAAAGCTGTTCGAGACAAACGTGTTCGGTTCGCTCGTTGCTCATGTCTACTGACGGCTACGGAAAGCTGCGAGCCGCGCCACCAAACCCATCTTGTCCCCCACTGCACCATCGAAGGCATCGGTGGTGGATCCTTTGCCGCCCTTGCTGCCCCCAACACCCCCCTTTCGGCCACTGCTGCTGGCCCCTCCTGATCCCGTCTCCCCCCTTCCGCGGCCGGCCCCACCACCACCAGTTCCACCCCGCATCCTCCTAGCCGCCACCACCTTCTCCTTGTACGGGGGCACCTTCGCCCGTACAAGCTCCAAAATTTGCGCGGCGGCCACGTGGTGTGAGCCACTCCCCTCCTCCCCTTCTCGAAGTAGCCGATCTTGAAGCTCGGGTCCAGGAACGTTGCCACCCAGAGCTCATCCTTGCTGCTAGAGTAGTACTTCTGCAGCTTCCCCAACGAGGCCTCGATGCACCCCTTCAAGATCTCTGGGGTGGGGGGGGGGGGGAAACACGGTCCCTGAGCCTCTCAATGCTGTCCAGCAGCTCGTTGAACTGCGGGTCCACCCTTGAGATGGTGGGGTACGAGGAACCCTCCACCGCCAGGGTGACGGTGCGGAAGGGCTGGAGGAAGTCGCGGAGCTCCTCCAGGGCCAGCCACTGGGTCTCGGAGAGGGTCAGTTGCTGCAGGCGGGCCGCGTCTTTCGCTGTCATGCCCTGTTATGGAGTCAGGTGTGGGAGTTGAGGGCTGCAGGGTTTAGACGCATACTATAGATGATGGAGTGTGATGAGTCTATGGAAGGAAAGGGTGGGGACGAGACAAGGGCGGCTGTGCAAACAGTAAGCATGATGGATGACTTGCCCAATTGCACTGGTTCCATTCCATCCAAGTCAATGCATATGCAAACAGCAGACCGGTGGTACTCACCTCGGTGTGCCGAATGTAGTTGATGATGGCGTGCTTGAGGCGGAGAGCACGCTCGAGCATGAGATAGGTAGCGCCGCAGCGCACTTCGTTGTCCTGACGCAGACGCAACAACTTGGCCTTGGCGTTCTGAACCCGCTGCTCAAGCTCGAAGGCCGTCGTCCGCTTGGGCGAGTACCCAATGAATGAGGCGAGGTCTCGAAGAAGCCCCAGTGGCTCATTGATGTCTAGCACACTCTTCAACGCTAGCTGTACAGCCAGGTTGCAGATGTGGTCTAGGCACCTGGAGCATGGGGATGGGCTGGACAGGGCAGAAACAAAGGACCAGCAAAGGAATGGGGGGGGGGGGGGGGATGCATGGGTGAGTAAGGTTGGCATGGGAACACACTCGGTGCTGCCGTACATTGTCGCTAGGATAATACACGAAGAAGAGATGTACTGTACAAGTCAACATGGTGGAAGGGGAAGGGTATGTAATCTCACCGAACGTGCATCCCCGAGAAGAACAAGGGAGGCTGGCGGTCGCTCATCCCACCGCGACAGAGGTACTCCATCGCGACGACGTTGGACGAGGCGTTGTCCGACGTCACCACACTGCACTGGCCCTCTAGGTCCCACTCCTTCACCACGTCCTCCAGCACCTGGACAATCTTCTTGCTAGTATGTTCGCCAGGAAGTGCGCGGAATTTCAGCGTGACCCGCCGCAGCTCACAGTCCTTTGATATAGAATGGCCCGTGACAGCCATGTAGGACCAGTGGTTCTCACCGGTCCATATGTCATGGGTCAGGGCGACAGCCCCTGACCCATCAGCAAGGAGCTCCTCGTTGAGCTTCGTTTGAGCCAGGTCTGCCAAGCGAAGAATCTGGCAGGCTAGAGTGGAGCGGCTAGGGATGACCTTCTCCTCCGCACACGCTGGGTTGGCGGCCATCATCATCCGATGAAACTGCACAGGCACGATGGGTAAAGTGTGTTACAGAAGCAAACAGCATATTCAACGACTCCATTTGAAGGTGCAAGAGCATCCAAACACTAAACTCCAGCATACCACACCAAACACAACTCATCAACGGCGTGTGAGTGAAGGAGAAGGGCGGACTTACCGTGGGGTGTTCAACGACGCTGAAGGCCTGGTCGGTTGCCACAACCCACTCCACCATGGCCTGCTGGAGGACGTCCTTGTCGAAGCGCTCGGGGAAGTACTTGGTCAGCCGCTGCTGCCCTGACTTCCCTGGCACACCGACAGGGGGCGGCGCCGGCCACGTGGCTGAGCCCTCCCACTCAAGCTTCCCATCCGGAATCTCGTCACCCTGTCCATAGCCTCCTTCCGAGAAGTAGTCGTCGGGGCCTATCTCGCCAGCATTGAATTTCCTCAGCCATATCGCATAGTGGTGCTTATGCTGCACCTCCATATGTGCCTTAGCAGTGGACCCGTTCCCTTGAACAAAAGAGATCTTCCTGTTGCACTTGCGGCAGTGACGCAACCTCTCTTCGCCCTCGATCTCCTCAAAACAACGGGTCACGAAACCCGTCATAGGTGTCCCTGTCCTGTGGCTATGTGGATTGGTCATCCGGACATTGTAGTGCGCCCGGGGACAACGACTGCCTCACCCTCTTTTGCGGCCCCTACCTTTCCCGGCGGCACCCTTGTTTCTCTTTCGTCCACCAACCCTCTTACGCTTATTTCCCTTCGCACCGTCCGTCCCGTCATCAGCCCCTTCGTCCACGAGGTCAACAAAGTCGTCTGCCATTTCGGCATCCGCCTCTTCCCCATCTCCGGTATACACATCTTCCTCCGAGTTGTCTCCACTCCCACTCTCGTCATCCCCCTCTTCAGAATCATCCTCATTTCCATCTTCATCTTCCTCCTCCTCATCATCCTGCTCCGCACCCCCCTCCTCTTCCCTGTCCGCCTTATCCTCCTGTCCTGAGTCCCCCTCCATCCCCTCGGTCTCATTCTCACGGTCCTTTTCCTGCGTCCCATGTCTGCCATCGGTTTCGCCCATGCCATATTGAATGTCGCCGCGGAACTCATGCCCATACGCGGCCACAGGATCGTTGCCCTCGAGTGGATCCCGCCCAGAACCGCCAGCCCCTCCCCCTCCTTTCGTGCCACCAACCGTGCCAGCCGTAGCTTTAGCGGTTTTCACGCGTTCCGCCTCCGCGACCAACACCTTCATTTGGCGCTTCTGTTTCGATGTCAAATTCTCGGCAGCCTTCCCCTTACCGGTAACCTTACCCTTACCGCGACCAGCTGACACAACCCCCTTCTTAGAGGCCATAACCCTATCGCGAGCGGGAGGCATTGTAAACGAAACTGGGGTAGAAGGAGAAGCGCGTAGGTGAGACCCGTCTCAATATATCAAACTAGTAGCTGAACTTAAGTGGAAAGACCCCAGTGAACCAGTCGCGATTATACTGGCAAGCCAATGACGAGCGTAACATGGCGCAGGAGCAGCTCAGCGTTGCGTGGGTAAGGTGAGGACTAGGCATTAAGCCGTTGAATATGGTGGGAAACATCCAAAGCTTGACGGATTGCTTGTGCAAGTGTAGTCGAAACACTAGGCAAAGTGGTTGGGAACATTTGGCGGGTTCAGATCTGGGGTCAAATTTTCCCACCAAATGAGAACCCCTGGCAAAAGTGACGCGACGAGTTTTTTCATGCTCGACGAGCCTACAAAAACTCGTCAAGCACAAAACGAACACGAAAATGCTCGTCTCATACGACGAGCAGGTGACGAGTTAAAAAAGCTCGGCGAGCTATACTCGTCTCGCCTCGGCCGAATTATTTAGCCAAAAAAAGAGACTCGTCACTCGACCCCCGACGAGCAATTCGAGCGAGCAGAGTAAAAACCCTACCCTTGTTGCCCATGTAGGGATGAGCAAGGGGCGAACACGATGTTCGGTTCGGCAAACGGATGTGTTCGTCTAGGGGCGAACACGAACGTGTTCGGGCGAACATCGAACACTGTTCGGCGAACAATTTAAGCAAAAAACGTTCGAGGCGAACCGAACAGGTGTTCGCCCTTGTGCTCATGTCGCCCATGTATAGGTATACCCGACCCGACCACGAAATTTGACCTGATTTCGGGTCGGGTTTACCCGGCCTAAAACCACCGGGTCGGCGTACTCCCATCCATGCCACTGCCCCCACGCATGCATGTCCCCCTTCCTCTCCTGCAGCGCCTCCCGCAGCTTCGTTGCCTCCTCCGTCCCGAAGCTCCCCTCGCATTTGATGTGGCGAGCATCCTCTCCTGCAAACTCTTGTGCATGCCCTTCTTCCCCTTCTTCTAGTACTTCTCGACCAAGGCCTTTGAGCGAGCCAGCCACGACTTCATCACCTTGGTGCACTCAGGGACACTCAGGAAAATCCACTCCACCTGGTGGGAGGATTGAGAATCTGGCCAGCCACGTGGAGGGGTAATGCCAAGCTGTTGTCTACAAGAAATCATGCACCTCCTCCTTCTCTGCCTCACTTAGCCGGCACTCATCACCGTCCAGCAGAGTCGTCATGTCCTCCGTCCGCTGCAAAGAAAGGATAGGAGAAGGATAGTGGTATGCAAGGAAAGGAATGGAGGGGTGGGGAAGGATAGTGGGGGGTTCAAAGAGGGGGGTGCAGATTTTTGCTACACGTGTTTGATGGGGACAAACTCACTGACGTGCAACATAACGTCGTATATGACCCTCATCATCCCCTTCTCCGCTGAATCCGCCCTCCTCATCGCCATGAACGGCAGCTCCATCACCTTCACAACGAACTCAAACTGCTCCGCCGTCGCTCTCTTCCCCATGCCGCCCAATATGTGAAGACGTCGTGCACCACCATCTGCACCAGCTGCGGCCGAAGATCGCAGAGAAGGGACACAGCAATGTACTGCGACCCAAAGCGCGTTTCCGCGGGTCACAGTGCCTGCATCGCCTTCACCCCGTGTATCTCGAGACTCCTCAGGAAGGCGCGCGTCCACTGATGGATGCGGAGAAACGTGATCATGTCGGTCGCATGATCGACCACGTTCTGCGCCCACTTCATCTTGCCGATGTCCTCCATCAGCAGGCCAAGCACGTGGGTTGCGCAGGGGACAACCTCGATGGGCGGCCACTCGAGCACCAGCTGTTTGTAGGCGGATGCGTAGATGCTGCAGCCGTCCATGCGAAGCACGCCGACATTTTGAGGCCCAATCATCTCAATAATCGGCCGCAAGTTTACCCGCAATGTAGCCACTAATCTTCATCTCCATGCGGCAGTCAACAACATCGGTGAACACCACACCAGTGTCGTTGATGCAGAGCATGTCCATATGCGCGCGGCCGCTCGTGTCGGTCTTCATGTCGCTGCCAATCGTCACGCCAGTCTCACTCCAGGTCTTCGTAACCCCAAAGTTGGGATGACCTAGCCTGTGATGGAAGACGGCAAGGTGGGAGAGGGAGCGATAGGAACAGGAGGAGTCAGAAGGGGTGGGGGGAGGGTCGGGTTAGTGGTATCGAGAGGAAGGGGGGGGGGATGAGAGCGTGGGGGGTGACGCGAGAGGTGACTTGACTGTTAGCCCTTTCTTGCGTGGGTCCCTTTGTCGCCATGAATGAAAGTATTTCCGACCTTGTTTGTTTCTTTTAGCTGACAAAATTTGCGTACGAAATAAACGGACTTCATTTTTAGAATTTACCGTAAACAACGGGCCGACTTTTGAGAGAACGTTTAACCTTGCAGGTACGTAGCCCTGGATTTACCGCATGCAACTCTTGGTTATCGAAGTAGATATGGATGAAGAGGGACGTGCTGTTAATGTATCTGCCCACTAGTCGAATCGAACCGCTGCCGGCCGGTTTGATTCGGTGGCCGATTCGGCCCAGTTCGACCTGCGGTTCGAGTTCAGGTTTTCACTCATTTCTTTTTATTTTCTCGACTGGACTCGGTCAACTCTGTCCAATAAATTTGAACTTGTTACTCTTTATTGTCAAGTTAAGCTAGGCACGATCAAAGGCCCGACCCGACCTGACCCGACCCGACCTGGGCGGGCCAGCCGGGTTTCGGGTCGGGTCGGGTCGGGTCGGGTCTGGTCGGGTCGGGTCGGGTCGGACCATCCAGGATCTCAGACCCGACCCGGGTATCAGGTATCGGGTCAGCCTTGACCCGCCCCCGGGTCGGGTCGGGTCGGGTCGGGTCCGGGTCGGGTTGGGCCGGAACCCGACCTCACATAGGCAGGGTTGTATTTCTTTTAGTACTGTGCAGTTTGGTGTATTATTTGATGTATCATCAAATGTATTTTGCACATAAACTACTGAATGTTAATTTTGTTGCTATACTTGTTTAGCAAGAGACAAAATAGTCCTAAAACCTAGCGTAGTGTCAAAGTTGGAGTACGAAGTCAAAATCTACCAAGTCTCAAGTCGGACCGTGTGCTCAGAATAGAGTCTATGGCAAAAGCAACTCAATCATGAACAACAGTCACAACCCCCTCGCCTCATCCTCCACTCCCAGGCGGCGTGAAGTGGGAATTTCTTGAGGTTAAGAATATAAAACGAGTAGTAGAATACTAGCTAAACATGATTGCGCGTTAGGGTAGATTAGGGCAATGTTTCTTGGTGGCTGCTGGCGTCACTAGCTAGGTAACTTAACTTAACCCAGATCGAAACCCTAGTCGCTGGGAAAACTAACACCCGCGCGCGATTTCGATCTGGATGAAAATTGTTGAGAGGAAACCCCCGGGTCGGGCCAGATACCCGATCCGACTTAGCGCGCGGTACCCGAAACCGGGTCGGTTGCAGAATCGGGTCAAAACCCGTAAAACCCGACCCGACCCGACCCGGTTTCGGGTATCGGGTCGACCCGACTCGGCCGGGTAAACCCGACCCGACTCGCTTCAAAACTCCTGACCCGACCCGGGTTAAAACCCGGGTCAGGTCGGGTCGACCCGAGCCGCCGGGGCGGGATGCTCATGCCTAAGTTAAGCCGATCAGGGGGTGTTTACTTGACTTGACTCGTTTGCTCATGTATAGGCTGCCTGCGTATCCAAGGGTCTTCTCTGCTGCTCCACTTCCTACTCCCGTGTCCTTGTCGTCCCTCTGCATTCCTTTCTTTCGTCTCTTCATGCAGCTTATGCATCTAGTCTTTGCAATTGTGGCTTCACATGATTTTCCTGTGTCCTCTCCTCTCTTCGCTCCTTCTTTCTGCTCATACCATCCTCTCTTTCTGTCTTGTCCATTTGTCACACCTCGGGGCAGGCAAATTAAACCCCAGCCCTACGCCTGTTTTGTTCACTTGTGCCAAAGGACTATGGCAACACTACTATTGTGCTTCCTTGACGTGTTTTGGAACTTCCCCTATGCATACTTGTGACAGGGTGATTGGCATGCTCAGTGGAATTTAACTGTATGTAGCACATTTCTGTTATGTGGGCGTTTTGACAAAGAGTTTGGTTCAAATCAGCTCAATGGCTCAATCCCTGGTGCAATCTGCAACCTCACAAGTCTGACCCACCTGTAAGGCCTCTGCTTTAATATGTTCCCCTGTTACTACACATTCACACCAAGGTGGAAATGAATGACCAACCGCTGCTTTTACAATGGTAATTAACCGTAGCTTCCGGGGAAATTTTGACGTGTTTCTTGTTCGACAGAAGAACTGTTTGAGACACGTATACAGCATGTGATATAAGAAGTAACTCAGTTGTCATCCTCTGATTGTTCAGAGGATTCTTTTTATCCCACGTGACCTCTGGACCTCACAGCATCTCCTGGTGCTTCGCCAGCACTTCTAACAACCAACCACATCATCATCCTCCTTACAGAAATCTGTTTAGAACAATGTTATGAAATTGACTGTAGAAATTTATGGTACATAATTAGAATGCGTCCTTTACAATTCCATGTTTTACAATAGACATAAGCAAAGTCTCGAGGCAGCTTGGTAACTTGGCTTGGCTATTACATCCGAACCGCTTCCTTGAATGGCCGGTTCATGTTTTTTTTTTTTTTTTGGAGGACTGAACTGGTAACACTCATTTATACATGAGTAACTGGTCGAGTTTTTCGCCTCGGCTCTTCCGAGAAAGTAGTTTCATAGCAAGCGACGAGTCCTGTCCTCGGCAGAAAGAAACTCGGCCAAGTCGAGCTGAGTAATACTCTGCAAGTTAAACAACTCGTCTTAAGCTCGCACTTCGCACGATGTGTTTTGTCCTCGCTC